AATATAAAAAAATTAAGAAGGTAAAATCTGTTGAAATAATCATTTTTTCATAAATTATTCGTAAAAATCCCATTTTAGGTTTTATTTCGGGCATTCGTAGACTTTTTTGACCAAAGAAACTTGTCTATTTTATGACTTTTTGATTGAATTCTCTCCGCAAATGCATTGCCTTCAAAGAAACCAATGAAAAAATAAAATTTAAACACGAATATAAAAAAATTAAGAAGGTAAAATCTGTTGAAATAATCATTTTTTCATGAATTATTCGTAAAAATCCCATTTTTCTAATTCTTGTCGAAAAATTGCAGACAAAATCTCCTTGTGAAAAGGTCATCCGTCGCGACATCGCTCGCACTTACCCCGAGCACGACTTCTTCAAAGAAAAAGACGGTCTTGGCCAAGAATCTCTCTTCAACGTCATCAAAGCTTACTCTTTGCACGATCGAGAAGTGGGTTATTGCCAGGGCTCGGGTTTTATCGTCGGACTTTTACTTATGCAAGTGAGTTTTTTAATCACTCTTGAAAACTTTAATTTGTTTTCAAACGATTTTAGATGCCAGAAGAGGAAGCTTTCGCTGTCCTCGTCAAAATCATGCAAGACTATCGCATGCGTGACATGTTCAAACCCAGTATGGCAGAATTGGGGCTTTGTATGTACCAATTAGAAAATCTTGTCGCTGAATATTTGCCCGACTTGAATCAACATTTCCAATCCCAGAATTTTCACACTTCGATGTATGCTTCTAGTTGGTTTTTGACACTTTTTACCACGGCTTTGACCCTACCATTGGCCTGCAGGATCATGGATGTGTTTCTATCAGAAGGAATGGAGATTATTTTCAAAGTGGCACTTGCAATGTTAACTTTGGGAAAAGACGAACTCATGTCGCTTGACATGGAGGGAATGTTGAAGGTTTGTACAAAACTCAAAATTCCCCAAAATAGTTATTTGTTTCAGTTTTTCCAAAAAGAACTTCCGGTGAAAGCTGAAGCCGACCCTGAAAATCTGATGCAACTAGCCTACAATATGAAATACAACCCTAAGAAAATGAAAAAATTGGAAAAGGAATACAATGTGATTAAAACAAAAGAACAAGAAGAAATGGCAGAATTGAAAGTGAGTGTGTTTTTGATGTTTCCACTCTTGATTTTTGTTTTTCAGCGCTTGAGGACTGAAAACAAGCAACTGAAACATCGATGTGAAATGTTGGAGGAAGAAAGTAAAGCTTTAGCTGATCGTTTAGTTCGAGGACAAGTCAGTAGAGCTGAAGAAGAAGAAACCACTTTTGTAGTTCAACGAGAATTGGACGCTCTTCGTCACACTCATTTGGAAACAACACACCAATTAGCATTAGCCAATGAAAAAATTCGATCATTGTCGTTGATGATGGAGGAAACGGTGAGTCAAATAATGCGAAATTAGTTTTTTATTAGAATTTTAGCACACTTCGAGACAATCTTCCATTGATGAAATTTCCCTCAAACAAGAACAATTGCAACAAAGAGAGGAAATGATCGAATGTCTTCAAGAAGAATTAGTTAAAGTGAGGTTACGTGAGGCTGAAAATGACGCTTTAATTCGCGACTTAAGGGCCAGAATCCATGAATTAGAAGAAGATAAAAAGACACTTCGTGAGATAACGCCAGATAACAGTGTTGCTCATCTTCAAGAAGAATTAATAGCTGTGAAACTTCGCGAAGCTGAAGCTAACCTCTCTTTGAAAGATTTGAGACAAAGAGTATCAGAACTTAGCAATCAGTGGCAACGTCACCTCCAGGAACACAAACAGGAACCGACTTCGTCCGGGGAACCACATAGTACACCCAAGAAACTTCTATTTTGGGAAAATCGAAACAATGAAACTCAGAAATTAGAAGACGAGCTTATGACTACTAGAATAAGAGAAATGGAGACTTTAACTGAAGTTAAGGAATTGAGACTTAAAGTGATGGAGCTTGAGACTCAAGTGCAAGTCAGTACGAATCAATTGAGACGACAAGATGAGGAAATTAAGAAGCAAAGGGATGAATTAGAGAAGGCTGAGTTGAGGGATCGTGAAGCTGCTGCTCGTTTATTGGAGGAACATCGTCGATATTCAGATCTTGAGAGTAAAATGCAAGATGAGTTGATGAAGGCGAGAATCAGCGATGCGGAGAAAACTCAAGCCATTGCTGAGCTCACACAGAAGATTAGCCAATTAGAGTTGAAGGTAAATAATTTTTATTTTGACATATTTTTGACAGCTGACAAATAACACGATTTCAGAGAACTAAAAAAGATAAGACTATTTTATTTTCATTATTACGCAAATGAAAATATGGTAAATTTAAGTTTTTACAGTTGTTGTCCTAATAGTGAGTTTTTTTTTGAAATGTCAAATGTCAAAATGAAAAGTTCACGCACTCTTATTAGTGATGATTTTTCGGGTTTTATTTCGGGAGTTCCAGGCTTTTTTTACCAATGAAACACTCCTATTCGGTGGAGTTTTGATTGAATTATTGTTTTTTGTCTCTGTTTAGTTTCCGCTTTTTGTCGTTTTTTTCGTTTACAACGTTCAAAATTGCATGAAAAATTGAGAAGAGACAAGGATAGACGCATTTACATTTTGTTAAGGTGCGACAAAAACAGACTGATGTTTTTTCTCAAATTTATTTTGAGCATTTGATCAATGAAATAACAACACAAAAACACACTGAGGTCTTTTCTTAAGTTTTATTTCGGGCATTTGTAGACTTTTTTGACCAATGAAACTTGTCTATTTTGTGACTTTTTGATTTTGTCCCTACTGTCATTTTTCTCGATTAGAACGTCCAAAATTGCCTACAAAAACTGAAAAGAGACAAATTTCGACTGATAATTTATATTTATTTTTGACTCGAAATGACCCATAACGACACAAATTAACCCGAAATGTGCCATAGAGACACATTACATTTAGTTTGATATTTTTTTTTATTAAAAATGAAACTATTAAAGAAATTTTGTGGTAAGTTTTTTTGCCTCGATATATTTTACACATTTTTGACAGCTACGGTATCTCATTTTTACACCGTTCGTTCGGGAAAATAACACAAAAATTTTAAGATCTCAAAAAAAAAGATCCAATTATTTTATTTTCATAATTAAACATAATTAATTCCAGGTTTTATTTCGTGCATTCGAGGCTTTTTTCACCAATGAAATTTGCCCATTCGTTGGAGTTTTGATTGAATTATTGTTTTTTGTCTCTGTTTAGTTTCCGCATTTTGGTTTACAACGTCCAAAATTGCATAAAAAAATTGAGAAGAGACAAGGATAGACGCATTCACATTTTGTTAAGATGCGACAAAAACAGACTGATGTTTTTTCTCGAATTTATTTCGACTCTTTTGACCAATGAAACTTAGAACAAAAACCGAGGAGAGACTAAGATAGACGCATTCACATTTTACAACTTAATGAAATTAATGAAAACATTTTGTATGCATTTCCTTAAATAAAATTCTGTTGTTAAATAAAGTTATTTTAAATGTTGCAAAATGTAAAGAAAAAAATGTGGAAAATGAGGTTTCTTTAATAGTTTTTGTTTATTCCTAGAGAACTATCTGAGATAAGTTCAATAAAAATCAACAAAAAATAGGTTTTATGCACTTTAAAAAAAATTCACAAAAACGTGCAGCATTAGATAAGTTTGTCAATTATAATTTAATATTTACAGTAGTAAAATTTCAAAAGGAGTAAACAAATCCATTTCTGTTTATTTTTGATGATTTTAAATTTTTATAAAACTTTAAAACCAACGTGGTCCATGACTTTGAAATTAAGTTGGCAGAACTGAATAATGTGGAGACAGAAGTATAAAAATTCTCAAGCCTCACAATTAATTACCACGACTTTTTACAATTTTTTTTGCAATGTGGTGCTTTTTTTTAAACTTTTAAAAATAATTCTAAATAATAATAAAGGTGAACAAAAATAAACGGATCAAATGTTTTTTGCTCAAAAAGAAGTACTATGGAAATGTGACGTTTCTCAATTTTTTGAATATTTTTCGATATTGACATTTTACACATTTTTGACACGAAAATTTTAAGCTTTCACATTTTATTTTCATAATTAAATAAAAATGTAGTAAATTTAAGTTTTTTCAGTTGTTCTAATACAATAGAGTTTCTCGAAATGTCAACTGTCAAATTGAAAAGTCCACGCACTCTTATTAGTGATGATTTTCCGGGTTTTATTTCGGGCATTCGAGACTTTTTTCACCAATGAAACTTGTCCATTCGGTACAGTTTTGATTGAATTATTGTTTTTTGTCTCTATTTAGTTCCCGTATTTTGCCGTTTTCTTCGTTTACAACGTCCAAAATTGCATAAAAAATTGAGAAGGGACAAGGATAGACGCATTCACATTTCGTTAAGGTGCTTTTTCTCAAATTTATTTCGATTCTTTTGACCAATGAAACTTAGGAGAGACAAAGATAGACGCATCCATGTTTTGTTAAAGTGCGACAAAAACAGACTGATGTGGTTTTTTAAGTTTTATTTCGCATTTGTAGGCTTTTTTTGAGCAATGAAACTTGTCTATTTTGGTTGAATTTTTGCTCAATTTTTGTTTTTCTCGTCGAAAATTTTTGTTTTGTTTGATTACAGAGTCAGGAAATTGCGACCGAAGGCGAGCTTCGAATCCAATCGGTCGACGATAGTGATCGTGTTAGGGAATTGCAAGATAAAGTGGCCGATCTTCAAGCCGAGGTGAGTTAATTCGTGTAATTGGGTTGAATGGTTTTATTACACTACACGATTTGAGAGAAAAAGCACTCGCTTTTGCTTATTAATACTAACGTGTATATAAAAATGCTTCATTGGGGGGTTAATATAGTGTGCTAATGATATTTATTTAGTTTCCCACGCCTATCACTAGTCCGGATACTGAGCCGTGGAAGTGGCTCGAGTAAGTGAATTGTGATGTAGCTTTTGGGGTGTTTGCATGCTTGATGAAAGCTTGATGTCAACCTTAGTTTGAATTTATTAAAAATAACAATAGTTTTTACTGGAAATTTTCTCAATAATTACAAACAGTGTTGCCAGATCCAAATCTGTTGATTTTCGTGTTAGTCTGGTGATTTGGTGAAAACTTTTGTTTTTCGGGTATTTTCAACCAGAAACTTGATTATTTTTTCTTATTATTTCGTTAAATTTTTTTTAAAAAGTTGAAAAACCACAAAATTGGTTAAAAATAGTTTTGTTTGTTTTTTTTTACAAGATTTTATTCAACAGGATCGAAAATAAAAATTTATTTTTGTTTTTTACGAATACTTTTTCAGTTAAAAACATAATTATTTTGCAAAATTTCGTTAAAAACAATCCAAAAATTCAACAAATTTGTCCAAAAACAGCGTTATTTTTGCTCTTTTCAAGTGTTTAAGCACGTTTTTTGAGATAAAAATAAAAAAAATCCTAAAAATTTCGGTGAAGCAGGCAACAAAATTACAAAATTAAATCAACTTACTTCGTTTTTGAACCAGAGACTTATTTATTTTGCAAAATTTTGTCCAAACACGGTTAAAAATCACAAAAACAATTGATATTGATGTTATCTTGTTTTTAAATAAGACAAAAATAATCCGAAAATGTTTTTGTACTACAATCTCAAGTTTTTTTGCGAGATTGAGTCGAAAAATAATTAATTTTTAGCACGTTTCAGCTAAAAACGCAATTATTTCGCAAAATTTTGTTAAAAACAAGTCAAAAAACACAGAATTAGACAGATAATGATATAATTTTTTTCCTTTTTCGAAAGCTCAAGCAAATTTTTAAGCTGAAAACTCTGTTTTTTTTGCGAGAGTTTGCCACAGCGTGTTAAGTTGTTATAAAAAAAATTATATTTTAATATTTTTACCTAACTCTTAGGCTTTAACTTGATTATTTCATCAAATTTTTTCGAAGAAAACACAATCGAACCACCAAATTGGTTAAAAATAGTTCTATTTGTTTTTTACTAGATATTACTAAACAGAGTCGAAAATGATAACTTATTTTGTTGTTTTTTTTAGTGTTTTTTTTTCAGCTAGAAACACAATTATTTTGCAAAATTTTGATCAAATGCAAGCCACAAATTCAACAAAATAGCCCAAAGAACGGGTTTTTTGCCTTTTTGAGAGACAAAAAACCCGAAAATTTCGAAATAATGCATTGAAACAGGCTGAAAAATTACAAAATTAAATAGAAATTGTTTTATTTTTAGCTTGTTTCGACCAACTTAGTTCGTTTTTGAATCAGGGGTTCATTTATTTTGCAAAATCTTGTCCAAAAACAATTGATATTGATGTTATTTTGTTTGTTTCACTCGATTTTTTGAGCCACAGATAAGACAAAAATAAGCCGAGAATATTTTTTTTTGTGAGATTAAGTCGAAAATTAATTAATTTTGATTTAGCAGGTTTTTCAGCTAAAAACGCAATTATTTCGCAAAATTTTGTTAAAAACAAACCAAAAAAACACAGAAAAACCAGAGAATGATATAATTTTTTTCTTTTTCGAAAGTTCAAGTAGATTTTTAAGCTGAAAACTCGGTTTTTCGCGAGAGTTTGACACAGCGTGTCAAAAATCACTAAATTGTTATAAAAAAGATTATATTTTGAAATTTTTACCTAACTTTCAGGCTTTAACTTGATTATTTCGAAGAAAAAATAATCGAACCACCAAATTGGTTAAAAATAGTTCTATTTGTTTTTTACTAGATATTACTAAACAGAGTCGAAAATAACAACTTATTTTTGTGTTTTTTAATGCTTTTTCAGCTAGAAATACAATTATTTTGCAAAATTTTGTCAAATGCAAGCCACAAATTCAATGAAGTAGCTCAAAAAACGTTTTTTTTGCCATTTCGAGAGATAATGCATTGAAGCCGACTAAAAAATTACAAAATTAAATCATTTTTTAGCTTGTTTCGCCCGATTTAGTTCGTTTTTGACTCAGAGGTTCATTTATTTTGCAAAAATCAATAAAATAAATTGAAATTCATGTTGTTTTGTTGAGAAACCTCAAAATTTGGCCGAAATTGCTTTTACGCAAATTTTTGTACTAAAATCTCAATTTTTTCGCTAGATTTCGCTAAAACAAACTAAATAATCAAGAAATTAAGTCTAAAATTAGATTATTTTTGATTTTTTGAGCGTTTTAGCACGTTTTTCAGCTAGAAACGCAATCATTTCGCAAGATTTTGTTGGAAACATGCCGAAAAATCACAGAATTAGGCCAAAAGCATGTCATTTTTGCTTTTTGTCATGAGTTTAAGCAGATTTTTAAGCGTTTTTCTTGCGAATTTTGCCATACAAATCGTAATCTGGTGAAAATTTGGCAAATTTTTCAACTCGGATCAAAAATAAGTTTTTAAGCACGTTTTTGTACTACAATTTCTCTCCAGATTAAGTTGAAAATTAATTAATTTTTCATTTTTGAGAGTTAGCACGTTTTTCAGCTAAAACCGCAATTATTTCGCAAAATTTTGTTAAAAACAAGCTAAAAAAAACACAGAATTAGTCCGAAAGTATATTTCTTCCTTTTTCTGAAAGTTCAAGCAGATTTTGAAGCTAAAAACTCTGTTTTTCGTCAAAAATTACTAAACTATTATAAAAAAAAACATTATATTTTGATATTTTTACCAAACTCTTAGGCTTTAACTTGATTATTTCGTCAAATTTTCTCGAAGAAAAAATATTAAAATAGTTAGTAGTTAATATTAAAAATAGTTAAAAATAGTTCTATTCGTTTTTTACTAGATATTACTATAAAAACTAAGTTGAAAATGACAACTTTTTTTGTTGTTTTTTTCGAACGCTTTTTCAGCTAGAAACACAATTATTTTACAAAATTTTGGTCAAATGCTCAACAAAGTAACCCAAAGAAGGGGTTTTTGAGAAATAAAAACCCAAAAAGTTCGAAATAATGCATTGAAACAGGCTAAAAAATTACAAAATTAAATCGAAATTGTTTTTTTTTTTGGAACCAGAGGTTCATTTATTTTGCAAAACCTTGTCCAAACACGCCTAAAAATCACAAAAAGGATTAATATTGATGTTATTTTGCTTGTTTCACTCGATTTAGCTGGTTTTTGAGCAAAATTAAAACAAAAATAAGCTGAGAAACCACAAAATTTGTCCGAAAGTGCTTTTGCGCACATTTTTGTACTAGAATCTCAGGTTTTTCGCTAGATTTCGCTAGAACAAACTAAATAATCAAGAAATTAAGTCCAAAATTGTATTATTTTTGCATTTCTAAAGCGTTTTAGCACGTTTTTCAGCTAGAAACGCAATTATTTCGTTGAAAACAAGCCGAAAATACATAGAATTAGGCCGAGAATGATATAATTTCTTCTTTTTTTCTCGAAAATTCAAGCAGATTTTGAAGCTGAAAACTCTGTTTTTTCGCGAGAGTTTGCCATAGTGTGTCAAAAATTACTAAATTGTTATAAAAAAAAGATATATTTTGATATTTTTTCCTAACTCTTAGACTTTAAAATACGTCTAATCATCTCTCCAATAACTTTAAACTCTACAGAAATCAAAAACAAAATTATTAATTATTTCGTCAAATTTTCTCAAAGAAAAAATAATCAAAAAACACCAAATTGGTTAAAAATAGTTCTATTTGGTTTTTTTACCAGATATTACTAAACAGAGTCGAAAATAACAACTTATTTTTGTTTTTTTCCAATGTTTTTTCAGCTAGAAATATAAATTTTGTCAAATGCAAGCCACAAATTCAACGAAATAGCTCAAAAAACGTGGTTCTTTGTCATTTTGAGAGCTAAAAACTCAAAAATTTTGAAAGAGACTAGAAACTAATAATAGAAACTCAATTATTTCCCAAAATTTTGTTTTTAAAACAAGTCGGAAAATCACAGAATTAGGCCGAAAAGATTGTCATTTTTGCTGTTTTTCAAGAGTTTAAGCAGATTTTTAAGGGTTTTTTGCCACACAAATCGCAATTTGATGAAAATTTGTCAAATTTTTCAACACGGATCTGGTAAATTTTATGCTTTTGATCTGGCAACACTGATTGTCGAAAATATTGTATTTTGTACCAAAATGTGTGTCATCCTGTCAGGTCATGAGATTGGAATCGTTCAAGAGACGAGTAATCGCCGGGGGTGGTCGTATGCCGTCGGAGAGGTCTTTTTCCATCGACAGCACCGACGACGATCCCAAAATCAGATTGGACGATCCTTCCCTGAGATTAAACTTAGTCGAGTCTCCTACCTCCAAATCCGAGCTTACATTTAGTGACATGTGTCAAAATTCAAACAAACTAGATTCCAATATGAATACGCACACCACAATAGATGCTCATGAAGAGAAGTGTGCAAAAGTCTGACCACACGACTGAAATTTTAGACTAGGAATTTGTAGTATTTTTGCCTATGGGATTATTACTACAAACGAATAGAAATTTGGTGCATTTAAATATTTAAGTATAATTTATTGTTTTATTTTGTATTGATTTATGTACTTAACCGATTCTAGTGTGAAAATTTTGTGTATTTTGTTATTGTCTGGTATGTAATAAGAGATAATTAATGTAAGGTAGATTTTTCTTGGGAAATTTAACTTATGAATTAGTGAGACAACTAGGAGATGTTAGATTAGATTTTCTAATATTCTATCTGTGTTACAAGTAGTATTAAAACTGAGAGGGCTGTTTGTATATTTTGCTGAGCAAAGTCGTAAAACAGTATTTTACTTCACAAGTTGATGAACCAATCAACGGTGCTATTTTTATCAGTTGCAATAATTCAAAAAACATTCCAAACGTTAAACATCGAAATTTTATTTTTAGATAAATTAATAAATACTCTAGAAAACATATTGCACATTTATTTGTTTTCCACTTAACTTATTAATATTTTCCCTAAAGGACAGCAATAAGAGTCGATGTTGCAATATGTATAAAACCGATTTATGTATTGTTTTGCTTTTTAAATATATTTGTATCAAGACGACTACTTTTATTCCAATCCAAACAAATCACACCATAGAAAAAAAAATGAAAAGTGAATTGAGGCAATTATGCAACCAACAATACACACGTATATGTACTGCGTTTGCGCGGGTAATGCATTCAATAGCTCAATTGTATAATTGGTTGCATAACTAACTTTTAACAAAAACTGTAATTAAAAAAAATGGCACAAAATGACCATCCTGGTTACCTCTAATAAATTCGTCTTTATCTATTATGCAAAAGAAAAACCAAGTTTCTAAATAAAATAACACCAAAAAAAAATATTTTTTTGGTCAGTTTTGATAAAGTAAGGTCACAAAAACGTAAGAGAACAGAAAAAGGTAATTTTTATATACATAATAATAATTTACATGGTTTAAAAATAACAAGAATTTTTTTTTCAACTTGGATCAGAAATAAGCAGAGAATGTTTGCACGTTTTTGTACTACAATTTTAAATTTTTTTGCAAGATTAAGTCGAAAATTAATTTTGTATTTTTGAGAGTTTTAGCACGTTTTTTTAGCTAAAAACGCAAAATTTTGTTACAAACAAGCCAAAAAAACAAAAACAAAGAGAGGCCGAGAATGATATAATTTTTTCCTTTTTCGAAAGTTCGAGCATATTTTTAAGCTGAAAACTCGTGTTTTTTCGTAGCGTGTCAAAAATCACTAAATTGTTATAAAAAAAGATTATATTTTGATATTTTTACCTAACTCTTAGGTTTGAAGTTGATTATTTCGTCAAATTTTCTCAAAGAAAAAATAATCAAACACCAAAGTGGTTAAAAATAGTTCTATTTGTTTTTTACCAAACAGAGTCGGAAATAACAACTTATTTTGTTTTTTTTTCGAATACTTCTTCAGCTAGAAATAAAAATATTTCGCAAAATTTTGTCAAATTCAAGCCACAAATTCAAGGAAATAGCTGAAAAAACGGTTTTTTTGTCATTTTGAGAGCTAAAAACTCAAAAAGTTCGAAATAATGCATTGAAACTGGCAAAAAAATTACAAAATTAAATCATTTTTTAGCTTGTTTCGCCCGATTTAGTTCGTTTTTGAATCAGGGGTTCATTCATTTTGCAAAAATCAGTAAAATAAATTGAAATTCATGTTATTTTGTTTGTTTATGAGCAAAATTAAAACAGAAAATAAGTTAAGAAACCTGTAATAAACTGGTGTCGCGAAAAGTCAAATTCGTCTTTATCTATGCAAAAGAAAAACAGTTTTCGAAAATAATTACTAAGTTTCTAAATAAAATAACACCAAAAAAAATATTTTTTTGGTCAGTTTTGATAAAGTAAGGTCACAAAAACGTAAGAGAACAGAAAAAGGTAATTTTTTATTTGAACTTTATACATAATAATAATTTACATGGTTTAAAAATAATTATAAATAAAATAGTATAACATGTAAGCTAAGCCTAATTAATAGCAAATCTAGTAACAAAAGAATTAAATAGGTACATTAGGCGTATGTGTTATACACGAATTCGTTGTAGAGACTTATGTTTGTGTTATTATATTGCATTGAGTTATATTAAAATTAAGAAAGGAACTAGGATTAAAATTTTGTCATCAAACATGTTATTTTTCCATCCTTATCACTTCCTAACCGTACATAAAAATACTTTACAAAAATACTTTCAAAATACTGAAAAATAAATTTTGCTAAAAATAAATTACCTAAAAAAATATTCTTATTTCTTAAATATAGGAACATTACTTACAACTTAAAATTCATATTACATAAAATTTCTAATTTTACAACAATCCAACTTATCCTCAACATTACCGAAGAGTAGTTGTAAATTTTTAAAGTAATAAAATTATGTACATCATTTTTTAAACTGTTGATTGTGCCATCCATTGGAAATTACAGTTTCAGCTGCATAAAAAATGTATCAAAATTTTAAAATGTTAGAGAAAATGCAAAAAGAACTAAATTTTTTAGTAAAAAATCACAGAATTAGCTCTACCACACCGATTTTTCCAATGTATGGCGGCAAGAAAAAAATCTTTTTTTGTTCAGTTCTTTCGCAAATCCACAAAATCAGTTATGAAGCGGAATTAATCACCACTATTATACTAACAATAAATAGAGCTACACGTTGATTTTATCAGAAATACCAACTTAAAATACTTCAGTTATTTTCATCTACACAACAAATAGTCTTGTTGCAAAAGATATCACAAAGGAAACGATAAATAAATGATTTCAGCTACTACTCACACACTACCTTTAATATTTTTTACATTCTGTTCGTCTTTATTGTTATTACCGATGTAATTGTTATTAAACATCGTTGGTTTCGTTAATTTTATTCTCTCGTAAGTGGTAGATCGGGCAGTTTTTGGTTCTTTTCTTCCCTTCTTCGTGCAACACCACCAACGGAATCCCAATACTACCAACGTTCCCACCAAAATGGCCAGAATTATTGTTGGTACAATCCAGGTAACCAGCTGCGAATTTTCGTCTGGAAAAGAAAAAAAAATGAAGCGGAAAATACTAACTAACTTCATTGTGTTTGATTTTTTTAAATAGAAATAAGTTGTTTATACTATTAAATAATTTTAAAATTTAATCTTTTAGAACTTCGTCTTTTACACATTTCCTCTAATTTTAACCATTTCTGCAAGGCTTTAAAATAAATTTTATTTTAAATTTTTTTCAACAATTTTGGAGCAAGTAGGTAATCTTTGTTATAAATATTAGTTTGTTGAAGTACTAATTTACTACTCATTTCCATAATTTAAACAAAATTTCTAGGGATTCTAGAGGAATTTTGCGGCTGTGAAAGAAAATTTGAGTTAGTGATTTTTATTAAAAAACAGTTTTAATTTTATTTCTAATTAAATTCTTTTATTCTTTTTCTATAAACCACTCTAAAGTGTACATATGAGATATAAAAGTGACCAAAAAAACGTTAAAATATGTATTTCCATGCCCGGAAATGTTTGTACGATTTGAAAAATTGACAATTTTTACGATTTTACTACCGCTCACCTTGAAAAACTCAACAAATTCGTAATTTTTTAAATTTGACCCAATAACGTTTTATGCATTTTTTTGAGTGTTTAAGACCTCTATAAATGTAAAAAACGTTATATGGATGAATTTTAAGGTAATTCGTCGAAATTTTGGTCGATTTTTGGCACCCGGAGCGATCTATTGCCAATAACTCCGGACTTATTGGTAATAACCAATATGTTTAGTACCGTTGGAAAGCAAATTTAATTTTCTATCATATAAAAAAAAAATCAGTGTTCTACCATAAATAGTTATCGAGAAAATTTGTGATAAAGTCAAAAGTATGGATAATATAAATCCGACCATAACTTCAAAACTATTAGGAATTTTGCATTTCTTTTTGACTCCAATCGATTCCCCGGAACATTTTACATAGGTTTAGGTCAAAGTATTATATCATTGAGGCTCAGTTTTGCCGCAATTTACAAAACAAAAAAAAAACTAAAAATTTGTTAACACCACCCCTTAAAATCAAGTGTTTTTGAACATGTCTCAGATTCGATTTAAACCTATCTTATCCGATAGATTTTGACGCGCTAATTACGAATTTACCAACCACATTGTGTTATCTCCTTTAGTTTCGCCGTAATCGACGTTAAAATATTCATTTTTTTTTTGCGAGATATCGACTTGGCTTTGGCCTCAGTCGATAGATTTTCTTACGCTGATTACGATGGAATTAAATTCGTTGCTCTAAGTCTAATATTTTGGCCGTAATCGCCGTTCAAAAAGTCAAAATTTCCAAAATTGTGAAACTTTAAATGCGTTTTTCTACGAAACTATAAGACGTAGAGCAAAACGCTAAAAACCATTAAAAGTAGCTTGAAATTATCTATTTATTGGCGCAAACCGGAAGTCGCTCCGGGTTATGGTTCCGGGTACAGAGCTATTTTTAGGTTTAAAAAAAAACATATCTCAAAAACTATGAGTCCTAGGTCAAAGCGGTTTATACAGGCGTATTCTCCGGTTAATTTTACATATAGTACTAGTTTTTCATAAGAATTAAAAAAAAATTGATTTTTTTGTCAAAATCGGGTATTTCTACCATTATTTTTGACTTTATTACTCAATATCTCAAAAACTATGCATCGTAGAGTATTCTAACTAGTTGAATCGTGTTCAGCGAGTAATTTTACGTCTAGAAAACCATATTTCAAGCGTTTTTACGACTTTTAGGAAATTGACTATTTTTACGATTTTACTACCGCTCACCTTGAAAAACTCAAAAAATTCGTAATTTTTTAAACTTGACCCAATAACGTTTTATGCATTTTTTTGAGTGTTTAAGACCTCTATAAATGTAAAAAAACGTTATATGGATGAATTTTAAGGTTAATTTTTTTTTTTTGATTTTCGTCGAAATTTTGGTCGATTTTTGGCACCCGGAGCGGTCTATTGCCAATAACTCCGGACTTATTAATAATAACCTCTTATGTTTGGTACCGTTGGAAAGCAAATTTAATTTTCTATCATATAAAAAAAAATCAGTGTTCTACAATAAATAGTTATCGAGAAAATTTGTGATAAAGTCAAAAGTATGGAAAATATAAATCCGACTATAATTTCAAAACTATTAGGAATTTTGCAGTTTTTTTGACGCCAAACGATTCCCCGGAACATTTTACATATGTTTAAATCAAAATATTATATCATTGAGGCACAGTTTTGCCGCCATTTACAAAACAAAAAAAAAGCAAAAATTTTTGATTTTTTGGTCAAAAAAACCTTCAAAAACGTTATATGGATCAATTTTAAAAAGCATTCCTCCACACTTACCTAATTCAGTTACCGGAGTGGTAAACCCATCACCATCCACCAAACCGTCCCCACCTGAAACCCCCGTCTCAACCGTCGTCGAAGTCGAAATGGTTCGGTTACGTGCGAAATAATCCTCAAGAATCTCCCTCAATTCACTCTTAGTGATATTAAACTTGTGCAAAATATCATCATACTTATTCAACGAATTGCACTTGCAAATGGGACACCCTCGTTTATTCAATTTAAACCCATCAACACAAACTTTGCTACAATTCAACGCCTGACAATCAGGCTTGTCGATATGTCCTTGTGACACTTCACACGTGTGTGCAATACACTTCGTCTCCCCATTGAAACACGTGCAATTAGTACACGTGTCAAGCATCCACGACTCGTCGTGTTTATAAACTTTGCCTTCTTTGTGGCAAGGCCGGAAAAACTCCTCGTTTTTGGCGTTCCAACAGAAGGAAAGCCCATCTTGACATTTACACACTTGGGTATCAGAGGTCTTCAAAATGTCCCCCTCGCCATACCAAACCCCATCCACGAGACATTTTTTCTCCGAGTCGTCTTTTTCACACTTGTACATATCACAACAGCTCCCTGGAAAGCCTTTCCCACGTTGGACTATCACAACTTTTTCCCCAGGTCCACACTCTTTTGGACACGGATAACACACACATTTATCCTCAATCTCCCCGTTTTTGTTACTAGTAGCAAAACTATCATCAGGGCATTTAATACATTTCGTCGTGGGACAACACCCAGTTTGCTCCGTCACTGAAACGGAGTTTATGTCGCAAAGTTGGGGTAATTCGCACAAATCCTCGTCGCAAACGCATTCTCCATTGAGGAGTTTCCTGTGTGGGTCGACGCATTTGCATGTGTTTAGGGCGTCGAGGGTGGCGTTGGGGGCGCAAGGGCATTTGCCGTCGATGAGGGTGGAGTTGGGGCAACCCTCGCAGGTGTAGATGGGACAGCAGTGGCCAGGCTCGTCGGTGCTGTTGGCAGCAATGACGAGGTTGTGGAGACATGGGGGTTTGGAGCAGGAGGAGGGGTTGCATTTGCAGGTGTCTTCGACGAGGATGCTGTCGTGTGGGCAGGGTTCGATAGGTGGAGCGGCGTGTAGCACTGCGAACAAAAGTTTGATATTAATTTGTGCTACTTTTAAATGTAATATTAAAAAAATTAACAATTATTTTAATCAAGAAAATGTAGATTAAGGTCAATCAACGATGTTTAAAATAATGTGTCAAAATATTTGCTTCATTTAAATGCAATTTTATAAAAATCGGTATCAAGGAGTTAGTGTTATGTCAAAAAACATTCAATTCATTTAATTCCAGTTTATTTAAAGTAAAAAATCGTTATTTCATTTATTTTATCCTCGAGGGAATAAAGTACCAGATTATTAGTCAAAATCGAGGAATTAAGAGTCACTTTATTTCCTGTTGAGAGGAAACGTTTAAATATTCACATTTTAATTGTGTCAAGGTTTCTTAATCTAAATTTTGAATTTTTTGTTAATTTTTTATACCAGTTTACATAAAAAAAAAATTTAAGCAGCCAAGACCAATAAAATAAAATAAAATAAAAATAATAAATTAAAAAATTATAATTAAAGTTTCACTTGTTGTTTAATAAAACCAAACCAGTTTTTTTGTTGTTAAATTTTGTAAATTCAGTGATTCAAACCTGTGACATCCAATTAAATCTTAATTTTGGATTTTTTGTTAATTTTTTATACCGGGTTACATAAAAAAAAATTAAGCAGCCAAGGCCAATATGGCGGCGCCTTATGTAATATTACTAATAATAATAATAAAATAAAAAAAATTAATAAAAAAAAATTAAGTTTCACTTGTTTCCTAAAACCAAAGCAGTTTTTTTATTGTTAAATTTTGTAAATGCATTGATTCAAACCTGTGAGACATCCACTTAAAGGCTATCGAGATTTCAAACGTTTTTTCAAAGAATGTTATTTACAGATTTTTAAGAAAATTTTAAAATTGTCAGAAAAAGTTATTATTGTCTGAGATTTTTGTGATAATAAAAGCACTAGATATGATTTGTACAAAAAAAAGATCCAATATTTTTGAAATCCTCAAACTAGGTTTTTGACGTATTTTTAAAAGTCAGAATGTTTAGAATTTTCAAAATTATTTTTGAATTGTTTTGATTGACAATTGACATTCATAAAAAATAAAATTTTGGAATTTCTGCTACATTTTCCAAATTATTAGTCAAAAATGAGGAAATAAAGCGTTTTATTTTAATTGTGTCAAGATTCCGTAGAATCTTAATTTTGTATTTCTTGGTAATTTTTTATTGTAAATTCTGTGTTTCAAATCTGTCACTCATCAATTAAAGGCTTTTTGGAATGGTGCTACTTTTTTTGTAAATATGTATCAAGATTTCAAACGTTTTTTCAAAAAGTGTTATTTACACATTTTTAAAAGAGTTTTAAAATTGTTAGCTGATAGTAATTTATTATACAAAACGATAAAGAAATTGTTTATCTACGAGTGAAAAGGTTAAGTTTACGAGTGAAGTGACAGTAGATAAAAATTACTTTATTTCACTAGACGATAAAAGACTACTTTATCTACTGCAATAAGTTCATACAAAATAAAATTATTGTTATTGTTTTTAAGATTTTTGTCGTAATAAAAGAATTATGATTCGTACAAAAAAATCCAAGATTTTTGAAATCCTCAAACTAGATTTTTGGAGTATTTTTAAGACTTTTTAGACAGTCAGAATGTTCATAATTTTTGAGATTTTAGAAATAACATTCTAGGTTTCGTACAATTTACTATAAAAAAATTCAAATTTTGGAAAATCTGTCACGATTTTTATGCTTATTTGAGATATTTTAAGTATTACTTATTTCGATTTGTAGAATCGGAGAAATTTATGAAAACATTTTGTATGCATTTTCTTAAATAAAATTCTGTTTTTTTAAATAAAGTTATTTTACACGTTGCAAAATCTGAAAAAAAGTGTGAAATGAGGCTTCTTTAATAGTTTTTGTTTATTCACAGAAAAGTATCCCAAATAAAAAAAAATACTCGCAGTTTTAAAAGTCCAAAAAGTAGAAAACAAATCTATTTCTCATATTCCTCATCTAATTAACACGACTTTTTTACAATTTTTTCCAAGGTGGTTTTCATAACAGGTGATAAAAATAAAGTTCAATAGAAATGTGACATTTCTCAAAAATACACCTTTTCCGAATTCTTTTTTGTTTTTGAGATTTAATTTTTAATTCAATATATTTTTTTTTAACATTTATTAATTATTATTTTCTGAAAACAAATGATTAAAAAAAACCTTTGTACCAAACTTTTTTGTAATAATTTATTTTTTAATAATTTAATTAAAGTAATTATTGCACTTTTCCTTAACTTTTGTGGAGCAGTTTATTTACTTCATTCAACTGCAATTTTATGAGTAAAAATCGGTAACAAAGAGTTTTTAATGTCAAAAAATACTCAATTCATTTAATTTCAGTTTATTTAAAGTAAAAAATCGATATTTCATTTATTTTATCCCCGAGGGAATAAAGTACCAGATTATTAGTCAAAAACGAGAGAATAAAGCGTCAATTTTGGATTTTTTGTTAATTTTTTATACCGGTTTACAAAAAAAAAATAATTCACAAATTTCTAGTATCGTAATCTTAATTTTTTTTTGATTGTGAAATTTTGTAAATTCAGTGAGCAAACCTGTGACATCCAATTGAAGGCTTTTTGCGATGGTGTTATTTTTTAAATAAATATCGAGATTTCAAACGTTTTTTCAAAGAATGTTATTTACAGATTTTTAAGGAAATTATAAAATTGTCAGTTAAAGTTATTATTGATTCTTGCGATAAAAAAGATCCAAAATTTTTGAAATCCTCAAAGTAGGTTTTGGAGGTATTTCTAAGAATGTCATAATTTTTATAATTTTCAAAATTGTTTGTTTCTAGAGTCGGAGTACTTTATGAAAAGATTTTTGTATGCATTTCCTTAAATAAATTCTGTTTTTTAATTGAAGTTATTTTACATGTTTCAAAATCTAAAGAAAAAAAAGTAAAACGAGGTTTCTTTAATAGTTTTTGTTTATTCATAGAGAACTACCTCAGATAAGTTCAATAAAAATCAACAAAAAAAACGCAGTTTTAAGAATTTTTAAAGAATTTTTTTTCACAAAAACGTGCAGTATTAGAAAAGTTTGTCAATTATTAACTTGATATTTACAACAGTAAAGTCCCAAAAGTATAAAACAAATTCATTTCTTTTTATTTTTGATGATTTTATTTTAAGAAAACTAAATTTATTAAAAAAATTATTAATATTTATAAAACATTCTGACCAAGAAAGTCCGTGACCTTGAAATTAAGTTAGCGACATTGAATAATGTATAGACAAAGATATAAAAATTCTCAAGCCTCACACGACCATTTTACATTTTTTTTCAGGATGGTGCTTTTTACTAAAGTTATACATACCAGGTAGTGAAGTACTTTCTCAAGAAAATAATTTTTCGAATTTTTTTTAGTTCTACAATCTTTTTATTCTTATTTTTTTACAAAGGCTCTGACCTGAGGATTAAAACTATCTACATTTTATTCACGATTTATCAAAAAAAATCATATAACGAAACAAAATTTCATTCTCTTTATTAATTATTATTTTCTGCCGACAAATGATTAAAAAAACACTTTGTATCACACTTTTTCTTCGCCCTGAATATTAATTAATTAAAACTTGTAATGAATTTATACATTTGTACTTAATTTTTCGTGAGACTAAACACTTTTGTGGATGTTACTCTTAATGATCAAAAGGACCAAAAATAGAACATTCAATAAACAACGAAACAAAGTAAAAATAGCTTCAATAAATTACCGAAACACGACAACAAACCTCAATTATAAACCTGTATCCAATAATTTACTTTTTTAAACGGATGGAAAACACTGTTTATTGTAATGTCCGCCTACAACACATCATTAACATTCTATTTATTACAAAAAAAATACTAAATACCAAATTTAAATAACATCCTTATATGAAATCTTGTGACATTTCAATTCAGTTGATTGATTGACATTTTTCTCGAAAACTAACTCATTTAACTCCTCTTGTGAAGATCTAAAGAATAATGAATGAAATTATTTTTCTCGTGCAACTTTTCAGCACAAATTGCCTGTTAGTACATCTATGCCCTCGTTCTTTATACTATGAATATTTTATCAAACTTCTTTGACATCAAAAATTGATTTTTTTTATGTAATAATAATTAATGCAGTATTCAATGTTGTTACATGGTCATGAAACGTATTGTTGCGACCAACAAAGTCCTTCAGTTGCCTTAATATAATATTTATGCCTCCCTTGGTGATAATTTCCCAACAAACAGCGTTTGTGTATCCGTTCTAATATTGTGAGAAACAAGAACGAAGATCCAACCAGTGGTCTTATTTCCGTGTTTTCTTCTTGTACTAATCTCACAAGAATAAGTAATGTAATGTTTTTCGGTAAATAATGCATGGGTGCTAGGGGATTTACCCAATTCTTGAGAAATAAACTTTCAAAATGTAAAAAAATCCAACTGACACAATAAAAATAATAAACGATCAGTAACTTTAATCAAAATTAGTAAAACAAGATAAAATTTAAAGAATTTTCAGTCTTGCGTATGTATGGCCCGTGTAGATTTCGTAAAAGTGTTCTAAAAATTAACTTTTTCAATAAACTCACTTTCTACGAGAAATTTCGTTCAACTCGAACAAAAAAAACATCCAATTAGGTCAAAAATGGATTTTATTTTTTACTTTTTCGAGCGTTTAAGCAAGTTTTAGAGTTTAAAACTTGATTTTTTACTTTAAATTCACCTTTTTCGCAAAGTTTCGTTAAAACGGTCCCAAAATACTCTTATTTTAAAAAATCTAACTTAATTAGCTCAAATTAAGTTATTTTTGGCTTTTTTGTAATAAAATTCACTTCTTTGGTAAAAAAACTGAACAGTGAAACACGTTCTGGAGATAATAATTGACGTTTTTTGGGTAAAATATCACTTTTTACAAACATTTCCCCCAAACAGACTAAAAAAGTTATTAGTATTTAAGTACATTTGGAGAA